TCTCACTTTCTCCAGTATTATTCATTCTCCCACCCTTTACAATAAGGCCCATGTATATTATTATCTTATATCTGAGATACAACCATCATTGGTCAGTAGTGGAGGAAGTATTCAGATGCTGTAGTTAAAAAAAAAGCACTAATACCACACTGTAAAACTCTGTTGCAAGTAAAAGTTGCATTGGAAATGTTCTAAAGTAAAAGTTTCTAATATAATCAGAAGAATGTACTGAAAGTATTAAAAGTAAAAATACTCAATACAGAAAAATGTTATGTAAAAGCAGGATTTTCCAGTTGTAGTTGAGGTGCAGCTCAGTTTGAACTACTTTGTATAGGACTGCAACTAATGATTATTTTCATTATGGATTAATCTGTTTATTATTTGATAGTAGCCTATAGTACGATGCCATCACCTAGGCACATAAACTACTGCATCAATGCTGTATTTACAGCAATAATGGAAGTCTTGTATCTTATTTTGTTGTCCAAAACCTTTTGCAGATATTATATGCAGGTATATATTTGTGACCTGGGGTCCTCTCTCTCATTGAGTCAATAAACTAAACTAAAAAAAAAAAATAAATGAAAGAAAAAGAAGAGGCTTCAAATGAAGTAAGAAACCTCAATAATATTTGGCACAGCTGTCTTGTCCTTCACTCTCACCATAAATCAACACACCCAATCACCTCTGTGGAAATTTGGTGTTTGCACCGCATTATCAAAACACCATTTTGGAATAACGTCTGACATCTGTAGGAGATTCACGGTGAGTCACAGTCAGTGGATTGCAAAACAACTCTGATAACAGTTCGACAGCAGCTGACACATTCAGATTCCCATCTGTAAAACCTCCTCTGCTTAAATAGAACTGATGCAATGTCTCAAAGCCTGTAAGAGCCCAAACTGTCACTGATTCGTTCTTAAAAGACGTCAGCGGATGACATAATAATTGTAAGTGTTAATACTCTGATGTCCACAGTGGGGAGACAGTTATCTTTGTTTGTAGATAACATAAGTCAAATAGCACAATATTAATTTGTTTGTTTATAAAGTGGGTTTTAATTTTCATACTGAGAGTAGCTGCTAATGTAAGTTGAGCCCTTGTTTTAGGTGTCAAGTGAGAAGTGCAACCTGCTCACATCATTAATTCTATAAAAGATGAGATTAAAGTACAACAGGATAGGATAAAATTAACTGTACAGAAATAGCTGATGGCTCTGTTTGTTTATGTAGGTCATATAGAGGCATCAGTATTAAATTGAGACTGTTTCATAACCAGTTATGCACAATGACCCCTTTATTGAGCCTGAAAGGTCCTGATAGATCATTTATTTATTCATCTGAAACACACAAATTATTATTGTGTTCAACAAGATTATTCTTTTTTCTTATTCTTATTCTAAAAGGAGCTCTCCTTTTAGTTTTTTTGCGGTGCAATTTACGACTTTATCATTCTTATAAGTGCATAATGGCATCATGTAAATCCCAGCATACCTTTGTACAACTCTAGCTTTAGTAGATCTGTTTAGCAACTTAACTGAAAAAAGCTGTAAGGGCATGTGCGGCCTTTTATCTTTAACAATGTATCATATTTAATAAGTTGATCATGTGTTTTGTTGTGTAGCCTTGTAGTCCAAGTATAAAGTAGCATAAATTGTGTAAGTAAAGTACAATTACCTCAAAATTGAAATGAAAACAGTATTTGAGTAAATGTTATTAGTTACTAGTTAGGTTTGAATAAATAAATACTACCGTAAAATAATACAGGATATGATACAGAACACTTTAATCATGAAGTATCTCCATCTGGTAACCACTGCTTGTGTCAAAGTAATATTCATATTAATAGAA